CTTTTCTCTAGAGGATTTGCTCTTTTCTCTCTCTCTCTCTCTCTCTCTCTCTCTCTCTCTCTCTCTCTCTTTTCTTTTTTTTCCAGTGCTGGGGATTGAACCAGTGCCTCTTGCATGCTAGGTAACTGCTCTACCAGTGAGCTACACCCCAATTTTCTATTTTTTAAAATAATAACCATTCTAATGTGTGGGTGAAGTAACATTGCATTGTGAGTGGGTTTTTCATTTTTGTTTCTGTTTTGTTTTTTGAGACAGAGTCTTGGTCTTCCTATGTCATCCAGGCTGGTCTCAACCTCATGATCCTCCTGCCTCAGCCTTCTGAGTGCTGAGATTGAAGACTTGAGCCACCACACTCAGCTCATCATACTTTTAATATGCGTCTCCTGAATAACTAATGATGGTGTGCATCTTTATACATGTACGTTTGCTGTGTAGCTTTTTAAAAGTTTTTCCTTACATTTCTTTGATCCCCTTGCAAGAGGGGTTTGAAATGCTATATGATCTAGAACAGTAAATTATAATATTTTTATCTTCACAGAGAGTTCAATTTAAAAGTATTTGTTGTTTTTTTTGTTTGTTTGTTTTTCATTTTTCCTCTGGTACCAAGAATCGGACTCAGGACCTTGCCCTTGCCAGGCAGGCACTTTGCCACTGAGCTAAATCCCCAGCCCCTTAAAAATATTTTAGATGGATCAACTCATTATATTTTGTTGGTTGTTGTCGGGGAAGGGCATAACTAAAATTATCACACCTTATCACTATCATTTGGAAAGGTACTTTAGTATTTGAAAGAGGAGGAAGAATAATCTTAAAATAAAAAAGCCTTTTGAATTATGTTAGCTTTAGGAGAACATTTTATGGTCCATATTCCCCCATTTGCTGTGGTCCTGAAAAACCAACCAGCTTTTGAGTCTTGCAGGTCTGAAGCCAGCAGCTCCAAGGGGAGAAACATGCTCCTCTGGACCGGCTGCACAGGACGAGCTTGTGGAGACAAATGCCAGGATTTATATTCATGTTTTAATGTGGAAAATAAGAAAGAAATACATACTCTATAACCTAACACTCCAGCAGTACTGGCGGCCTCACCCCACCGCATCTGAAGGAAGAGGTTCACCAAGCGGGCAGTTGGAGATGCTCTCCTCACTCCTCGGCCTTCAGCCTGTTGGCGTTTGGGGTGCTGTGGAGTGGGTGGGCCACTAGGTGTAATACCGCAGAAGGAGGTGGGGAGCCTGGGGACATCTTTCCCTTCGGGACTCCCCAACTCCTTGGAACACCTCCAGATTTTGATAGTTTCCTAAAATGTAAATCCACTTCCTGATTCGGAATGTGAGAACTACATCTCCCGGTTCCTTTAAAGCATGGGACAGACTCTGGATGAGGCTTCCGCCACCTGTGCGAGGCGTTGGCTTGGAGATGAGTTACCCGGTGACCAGGCGGGGCCCAGGCCTACATGGGGGCAAAAGCGTCCTGTCCCGGAGCCGGCAAGGCGGCAGATCCCTTGGAGAGCCAGTCCAGGTGGACCTCCGGAAGTTCACCTAATAGTCTGTTTCTTTAGCCTTTCTCATTTTTTTAGTCACCTCTAGCTTTTCTGCTCAAACTAGCTTGAGTAGGTTCCATTGTTCTCAACTAAGAATCCGGGCCAATGTTAGGTGCCAGCTGCGTTCATCTACTCAGGAGGCTATGACTAAATACCTCAGACTGGGCAACTTGTAAGAGACAGAGAATGATTTCTTACAGTTCTGGAGGCTGGGGAGTTCAAGATGAAGGCGCCAGCAGATCCGCGGTCTGGTGAAGCCTCCCCTGTCTGCATCTCTGGTTGCTGCCCTCCCGGGCTGGGAAAGGGGAACAAGCTCCCTGCAGCCTCTTTTAATAACGCCCTCATCCCAGTCATCTCTGGTAGCCGCTGCAGGTCCGCCTGTTCATCGTGTTACCCGGAGCCCGGCTTTCAGCTGTGAATCCAGAGCACATTCAGACCGTAACAAGAACAATGAAGACAAAGTTTTCCTGGTTATTTTGAAGCAAAGTTCTTAAAATAAAAAACATTAAACTTAGAGAAGAATTCCCTCTTTCACAAAAACATTTGGAAATGTTGACATTTCCAAATATGTCAACATTTAAGCAATATTAAGAGGCTTTTGGTAATTATGAACAAGCTAACAGATATTCTTGGGAAACAAGCCAAGTTTTAAAGACATAGATGATATCTTAACAATAGGTGATATAGTAAATGTTTTATGAAAGAAATGTATACTTTGGGGAATTTATTTTGAAATAGTACACTTGGAAAGATAGCCATCATTATGTAATCTTTTAGAAACTTCAAACAATACAATCATATATATATACATATATATATGGTTTTTTTTGTTTTTTTTTTTTTTGCTACTGGAAATCGAATTCAAGATCTCGCACTTGCCAGGCATGCACTGCGCCACTGAGCTAAATCCCTGACCCCAATCTTATCTTAAAGAAAAACAAAAACACCACATATCTGCACACACAAAAAACTTGAAAACAGGATTTTCCAACGCATTTAAAAATCTTTCAAATAAGGAGTTTCATTTTAAATCCACAAGTTAAAGATGTAAGAACAAAACAACTTCCAATTAGTTGGTAAAAATAACTGGCTGGCCTCAGAGACAATGAAAAATTTCACCAAAACAAATCATTGTTAGGTAGGATTGAAAGATGAGCATTAGGGGGGCTGGGGATTTAGCTCAGCGGCAAAAGCGCCTGCCTGGCAAGCGCAAGGTCGTGAGTTCGGTTCCCAGTACCAGAGAAAAACCAAAAAATAAAAAAATAAAAAAATGAAAAAGATGAGCATTAGGGTTTAGGAGTCTCAGTGAATGGCATATTTCTACAAATATTTTTTTCTACAAATATTTTAGAAGTACCTTTACTTATTGCTTTAGTTTTAAAGCTTTTAAAAGAATATGCTGAAAGTTACTAAACATTAATAACCAGACCTTTGTTTCACTGCAAAATGCCAAATCAAAAATTTAAGTTATAGTATGACAAAGTGGCTCAGTGGTAGAGCGCTTGCCTGTCATGCAAGAGGGCCTGGCTTCAATCCCCAGCATGAGGAAAAAAAATTTCAATTGTGTTGTATTCAGCTATAGTGTTCTCATTAATTGTATTATTATTAGTAGTAATATTTTAATAAAAAAGAAATTTTTCTACGAGTAGCAACTAAAGTAAATGTTTCCTAGTGCATACATTTTAGCTGAGTGGTATATGAGGTAATTTATAAGTTAATAAAAATATATTAGGAGTACACACTGAAAACTTCTAAAAACCTATTCAAAATATTACCTTTCAACATATGACTAATGAATTGTTACTATGATATTTTACATTCTTTTTTGCTTCGTTGCAAGTCTTTGAAATCCAGAGTCTATTTTATGCCTAAGCCCTTTTTTGGGGTGGTACTGGGGCCGGAATCCAGAGCCTCATGAATGCTAAGCAGGTGCTAAACCACGGAGCTACTCCCTCAGGTCTCCCAAGCGCATTGTACTCAGATCCATCACCTTTCTTTCTTTCTTCTGACAATTTCCAATCAGATTTTATTGGTACATTTTAGGTATATAGAATGATCCCATTCATCATAGAGGATTTGCCCTGTAGATGATATACCTTGATTCTTTTTTCCCCATTCCTATCCTCCCTTCTACCCTTCTTCCACTCTCCACTTACAAAGGCGCTGTTTCCATTTTTTCTTTTCTCATTTTCTTTTTACTTTTCCCTTCTTGCCTTTCTCCCTCCCCACTAGATCCATTATACTCGAGGGCTCACAGGGGCATTTGGCTACGGTATTAACAACAGAGCTCGAAAGAGTTTAGCTTTAATTAGAATTTTCAGTGGCATTCCTAACTTTGGCTGTTTCATTTTAGACTAGTTTGTGGAAAACAGATAAGCACTGTATATTTTCCCAAAAACAAAGAACAAAAACCAGGAAGAAGCGCTCCGCTAACACAGTGTATGCCTCCTTCGGTGTGCGGCTATTGGCGGGGTAGTCAAGAGTTCAGGGATATTTGCATCTAAAATCCCTTATCTAGTGCTTTGCTGGCTACTGTTTATGCTGAAGAAAATTTTAAAGTCGGTACAATAACTCCAGTCTGCTCATCTCTAAAATAAGATTTTAGGTAGTTGTTTTTAACCAGAATCGTACTGAGCTACTGTTAGCCAAAACCAAGGCTAATCTAGCGTTTCTTTTCAGACTTTCTCAGCTGATTGTTCAAAACAAGTTGGGTGTGGTGGCACCTCTGTAATCGCAGCAGCCTGAGAGACCGAGGAAAAGAATCGCAAATTCAAGCCCAGCCCGGACAATTTAGTGATTTAGCATTGTCCTATCTCAAAGTGAAAAATGAAAAGGGGCAGGAGGTATAGCTCAGTGGGAAGGCCCTGGACTTCATCCCTAGAATGATCAGCCCCTGCCCCGCAAGAGTTCAAAACGTCCTGAAAACCAATCTCACATGAAATTCCTTTGTTACTTTGTTTTGACGTTAATGTTTTTCTGAATTCTGAAAATATTTTTCCACTCTGTGGATAATACACCCAGAGGGACCGAGGGCTGAACTATGCATAACCTTGAGGTTACGTGTTTCAGGGGTTATCACCCTTCTCTTGGTTCAAACTCTATCTAAACCGAGAAATCAAACTGTCACTTAATAGACTCCCTGGAAAACACTCTGCACTTATGATCCCAATGGATAAAAATATTTAATAAATTTTTAATACACGTTCAATAACATAGAAGAGTCATATTATTGGAAATGGGTAACACTTGTGGCTTAAAACGGTGATGGACACAAAGTTCCGTGAGTCAGGGATTCTCAGCAGCAGAATTCTGAGCCAGGGATTTAGGAGCGTGGGACCCTCCGACGTGTCTGCTGAGGCTGTGGTCACCTGGTGGCCTGGCCAGTGCTGTAAGGTTGCTGCCATGGCTCGTGAGCTGGTGCATGGCCAGCAGGAGCCTCAGTTCCTCGCTACGGCAAAATCCCACATTTTGGCTTTTAGGAATTCCAGCCAGTTCCCCTTTGGTTTTCCCTTAAGGAAAAAAAAAACGTTAGTCAACTTTTGCTCACACAGCCAGACTCAAAACAGAAGAGACTATGATAGGAACAAATGATCTTAGAAGAAAGCAAAATAGGTGGAAAATAAAACAGAAACGCTAAGAGACATGCGGTCAGTAGAAGTGGCCCAACATGTGAAAGAGAAAGCAGAGGAAAGACAATTATAAAAAAGTAATCTGAAGGGCTGGGGATATAGCTCGGTGGCACAAGCATCTGCCCGGCAAGCGCAAGGTCTTGAGTTTGATTCCCGGTACCAAAAAAAAAAAAAAAAAAAAAAAAAATCTGAATATATATTAGCATTGAAGATCAGAGGGATGGAAAGAAGGAAGCAAACAAGCTTACATGTAGATTCACCACTGTAAAAAGTTTGAAGACTAAAGTAAGGAGAAGAGTTTTAGAGTCACTGAGTGAAGGGTAAAATAAAGTACAGCAAAGAAAGATCATCTATAAGAGATGGGAATGAAATTGATCCTTAGCTAGAATATTATGGACCAACGCTTTCAAACTTATGAGGGTACTGAGCATGCTGGGGTATACCTGTAATCCCAGCTCTTGGGAGGCTGAGGCAGGAGAATCGCTGGGTGTTTGAAGGCAGCCTGGGCTACCTTCAAGTAGCAAGTTCAAGGACAGCCTGAACTACTTAGTGAGACCCTGTCTCAAAAAACCAAGAAAGAAGAAGAACCAAACATAATAGCACAGAACTTTTTTTTCCAATGAACTAAGAGAAGCTAGCAGTATAAATGAAATAAATTAACATACATATTAAATTATTTTTGAAATGACGGAGTAGGTAATTTTGAGAGTTACTGGACTTCTTCCTACTTCCTATTTATCCATCATCTGTTTTGCTCTTTATTTGGTATATATTTTAAAGTTTCTCACATAAGAGAAATCGTGTGATATTTAATCTTCTGTGTTTGGTTTGTTTCATTTAACTCTCTATTCTCAGAGCTGCATCCACTTACCCACGATACCTCAAGTTTATCTTCCTCAGTGGCAGAATCTTTCTTGTCCGGATCTTGTACTCCGAATAACTACTTTGAAGATAATGATACACAGTGTATTAACTATCATCATTCTCTTATTATTTTGTTATGAAATTTTTTATTTTCTAAAATATTTAAAAATACCTCCAAATCATGAAGGATAAGTATTTTCTTTTTTTTGTTTTTTGTTTTTTTTTTGGTTTTTCTCCGGTACCGGGAACTGAACTCACGACCTTGCGCTTGCCAGGCAGGCGCTTTTGCCGCTGAGCTAAATCCCCAGCCCCAGTATTTTCAACTTAGAATTCTACAGATGCCTAAGCCATCAATCAAAAGAGAGTCAAAAGGGCTGGGGGTGTGGCTCAGCGGCAGAGCTGCTTAGCCTAGCACTCAAGAGGCGCTGGATTCCATTGCTAGCAGGAGGTTGGCCGCAAGTTCAAGGCCAGCCTGAAGTACATAGTGAGGTCCTGTCTCAAAAAACCAACCCTCGGGGCTGGGGATTTAGCTCAGCGGCACAGCGCTTGCCTGGCAAGCGTAAGGTTGTGAGTTCGATTCCCAGTACTGGAAAAAAAACAAAGAAAACCAAACTAAACCACACCAAAACCAACACTCCCCGCAAAGCATGTCCAGTGTGGCAGGCACAGTTCTAACTTCATATAGTTCTTCAATCAATCATCATAATAACCCGGCAAAGCAGCTAATATCAATATCCTCATTTTACATGTGATGAAACTGAGACACTGAGGGTAAACCACTTGCCAGAGTTACAGTTAGTAAGGAGAGGGGTTTGAATACTGGCAGTCTGTTTGCTGAAGGAAAGAGGAAAACACAATACTGAAATGGAAAAGTAGGAAGAAAGACTAACCATGTATTCATACCCTGGCATATGAAGGTGCGGTAAGGTTTTGATGAACCTTAGTGAACATTTTGTTTACCTTGTTACAGCAATGGCATCTTCCTGAAAAAACGGATCCACAGGAAAGGTATGACCAAGAGAAATGAGAAAATAAAAAATAGAGATGTTGCATAATACCCATTAAATTATCTTGAAATTTTTTTTTGTTGCTTTTTGTTGTTGTTGTTTTGTTTTTGTTTTTTTGGTCTTTTTGAGACAGGGTCTCACCGTGCACTTCAGGCTGGCCTTGAGATCACTTTGTAGCCCAGGCTGGCCTCGAACTCATGGCGATCCTCCTGCCTCAGCCTCCCGAGTGCTGGGTTGACAGGCTAGCACTCACCATACCATGACAGTTCTGAGGAGCACTGCTCAATTTTGGGGACTCTCCCTCCATGCCCCTGGGGTTGTGGTCTGTGTGAAGAATGCTGGAGGCGAAGTGCTGGCATCACCGTGACCTGCGCGGGAGGTGTCAGTCTGGGTCGCTTGGGGAAGGTGGGGCCCGCCAGGTCTCTCCACTCTGACGCCACCGCGCTTTCCCCCTCTACGCCCTGCTCTGTGGAGAGTCACAGGTCCAACTGACACTCCGAGGGAAGGGAACTGAGCTCTTCCTCTTGGGGGACACATCTACATCTATTATTTGAGCTTGATCTGTAAAGAGAGTTTATCCTTCCTCCACCCTTTACCCAGTTTATTGATTTATCCAATTGTCTATATATACAAGCACCCTTTAAATTAAGAGTATTAAATTTTCTTGTTGGGGGCTGGGGATTTAGCTCAGCGGCACAGCACCTGCCTGGCAAGCACAAGGTCGTGAGTTCGATTCCCAGTACCAGAAACGCCCCCCACCCTAAATTTTTTTTGTTTAAGTAAAAGGATAAGGCCATTACCTATGCTTTTAGCAAAGTGGACCCTCTAGGTGACAGGAAACAGAGGCCCCTTGGGGCTTGCTGCTGCTGGGTACAAGAACAGGGGGCTCTAAGAGTAGATGATTTAGCTAGGTGTGGTGGCACATGCCTGTAATCCCAGCACTCGGGAGGCTGAGGCAGGAGGATTCTTGGGAGTTCAAGACCAGCCTGGGCTACAAAGTGAGCTCAAGGCCAGCCTGCACTGCATGGTGAGACCCTGTCTCAAAAAGACAAAAAGAAAAAAAAGAATAGACTATGTAAACCCAGCTCTGCCACATATTAACTGCATTACCTAGGGCAAGTTTGATTTTTCTCAAATTTTGTTTTTTTTTGAGTCAGGGTCTCACTGTGTTGTTCAGGCTGGTTTTGAGTTCTCTGTGTAGCCTAGGCTGGCCTCGAACTCACAGTGACTCTCCTGCCTCTGCCTTCCAAGTGCTGGAATTAACAGGCATGTGCTACCACGCCTAACTTTCCTTTTTTGAAAAATGGAGATATTAAATTCTAAAAATATTCTTATATAAAGTGTACCAATTCAATAAGGTAATTTACTTTAAAGCAATATCACAGAGGCTAGCAATAGTTATATTAATATGTAGTACTGTTAGGGGTTACTTCTTATATAATTTAGGTTTAGTAAATTAAGAAATATATGATTATGTGTATATAAGTATACAGAGAGGGAGGGAAAAAAATGCTTGCTAGTATCAATGGTGATGTTTCTTTCTCTTTGATTACTTATACATTGTAAGTTTTCTATAACAAAGCTTCATCTCTTTTTAATAAGAAAAAAATAGAAGTTAGTTACCAGATTCATAACATCTGGTTTTGTTGGACGTGTGAAAAATGACCACTACCTCATTCCACTGCTGGGAAGAAAACTTGCTAAATCCTTTCCGAAGAGTAACTTGGCAATACGTGTCATAAGCATTAACATATTGCACACAGACTGAATCAGCAATTCCAGCTTTGGTTATTGAAAATCCTGTGCAATACACATGCACAAGGAGGCATCCACACAAATGTTCACTGCATCAATTATAAAAGAAAAACCTGGTACCAACTGTACACCTGTATGTGAATCATGGTGCTGCGTGGCCCAATCATTTTATAGAAGAGGATTTTTTAAAAATTTCTTTTTAATTTTTATTTTGTTTTTGTTTTTTTTCCAGTACCAGGAATCGAACTCACGATCTTGCGCTTGCCAGGCAGGCACTGTGCCACTGAGCTAAATCCCCAGCTCTTAGAAGAGGATTTCTCGAAATTTTTAAAATGTTCACAATTTATTTAAGTAACAAAGGCAAGTCTGACCAATATTATTTGATTTCCATAAACTAAACACATATGCACACACAGGAAAAGATTATTTATATAAAATACATATCTAGTGTGAATGACAACAATTATCATCTCAAGATAGTGAGGTCCATTTCTTTTTAACTTGGGCTTTTCTACATTTTTCAGATTGCTTTCAAAAAGCCTGTGTTATTTTTGACAGTAGAAAAGCCAATGCTAGTTTAAACATGCCCATCATAGAGAATTTGGAAAAATATAAAAGCAACAAGGTCTTAATTTTGGTTCTCTCTCAAAATGGAAATGTAGGGAAACCATGTGAAGGTTTAATGTTTTTTACAATGTGTATATTGTTTTGTTTTGAGACAGGGTCTCACTATGAAGCTCAGGCAGGCCTTGGACTCACTATGCAGCCCAGGGTGTCCTCCAACTCATGACGATCTTCCTGCCTCAGCCTCTTGAGTGCTGGGATTATAGGCGTGTGACACCACAGCCAGCTCAATGCATATATTATCTCTGTAATCTGAACAATAATAAAGGTTTAAAAATAAATTAAAGCACCATTTTTCTTTTTTCATTTACTTGAGACAGGGTCTTCCTATGTAGTTCAGGCTGGTCTTGCACTCACTACGTAGTCCAGGCTGGCCTCAAACTCATGACAACCCTCCTGCGGCAGCCTCCTGGGTGCTGGGATTATAGGCAAGAGCCACTATATCCCACAAAAGCATTGTTTTTAAAGAGGTGTGGGGGCTGGGGATTTAGCTCAGCGGCAAAGCGCCTGCCTGGCAAGCGCAAGG